AAAGAGCCCAAAAAGACAAGTCAACGATAAGAAAAAAGGACAAAGCTGGAGGCAACATGGTACCCAACTTCAAACTATACTATAGGGCTACAGTAACAGCATGTTACTGGTACAAAAACAGACACATAGACCAATGGAATCGGATAGAGAGCCCAGAAATAAGGCTGCACACCTACAACTATCTGATCTTCAACAAAGCTGGCAAAAAAAAGCAATGGGGAAATGATTCCTTATTCAATAAATGGTGCTGGGATAACTGGCTAACCATATACAGAAGATTGAAACTGAACCCCTTCCTTACACCATAACTAATACCAATCCTATTGAAGCTATCTCAAAAAATAGAGGAGAAGGGAATACTTTCAAACTAATCCTGCAAGGCCAGTATTACCCTGATACCAAAACCAGAAAAAGACACATCAGAAAAGAAAACTATAGGCTAATATCTCTGATGAATATTGGTAAAAATCCCCAACAAAATACTAGCAAGCTGAATTCAACAATACAATAGAAAGATCATTCATCATGACCAAGTTGGATTTATCCCTAGGATGCGAGGATGGTTCAACATATGCAAATCAATCACCTTGATACATCATATCAACAGAATGAAGGATAAAACTATATGATCATTTGAATTGGTGCTGAAAAACATTTGATAAAATTCAATATTCCTTCATGATAAAAACCCTCACAAAAACTGGAGATAAAAGAAACATGAGAGACCCACAGCTAGTATCATACTGAATGGAGAAAAACAGAAAGACTTTCCTCTAAGATCTGGAACATGACAAGGATGCCCACTTTCACCACTGTTATTCAACATAGTACTGGATGTTCTAGCTAGAGCAATCAAACAAGAGAAAGATATAAAGGGCATCCAAATTGGAAAGGAAAAGGTCAAAGTATTCTTCTTTGCTGATGACATTATCTTATATTTGCAAAAACCCAAAGACTCCACCAGAAAACTATTAGAACCGATAAATTCAGTGAACTTACAGGATACAAAATCACCATGCAAAAATCAGTAGCATTTCTGTATGCCAACAGTGAGCAATGTGAAAAAGAAATTGTAAAAGTTATCCCATTTACGATAGCCACACATAAAATTAATACCTAGGAATTAACCAAATAAGTGAAAGATCTCCATAATAAAAGCTGTAAAACACTGATGAAGGAAATTGAAGAAGACAACAACAACAACAACAACAAAAAATGAAAAGATATTCCATGCTCATGGACTGAAATAATGAATATTGTTCAAATGTCCATACTACCCCAAATAACCTACAGATTCAATGCAATCCCTATCAAGATACCAATGACATTCTTCACAGAAATGGAGAAAACAATCCTAAAATTTATATGGAACCACAAAAGACCCAGAATAGCCGAAACTATCCTAAGGTAAAGGACAAACCTGGAGGAATCACATTACCTGACTCCAAATTATATACTACAGAGCTACAGTAACCAAAACAACATGGTACTGGCATATAAACAGACATATATACCAATGGAACAGAATAGAGAACCCAAAAACAAACCCACACACCTACAGAT